ATCACGCGAGCATTTTGCAAACGGTTGTCCGTTTCATGGCAGATATGTACAACCGATCCGAGAGCTTTCGTGATTTCGCGTTGGCATCAGACTATGTTCGGCTACTTCTATCTGCTTTGTATCCCATTGTCGTCAGTGCTGACCCAGTCTCTCCCGAAACTGAACTTGGATCTAAGGACTCCTCGCTCAATTTCGACGGAATTGATGTGATTATTCGGCCAGTGGTCAGGTCATCATCATCAGCAACTCCGATCGTGCGAACGACCAATACTGCCGTGGCTGAGCAGCCAAACTCTTCAACGGGACAAAGTCGCGGTACACCTTTGCGCAGGCCCTCGTCGTTCATCCTCGTAGCTCAAGATCAACCCATGTCGCCTCCACCTTCCCGTCTCAATCACGTTATGTCCCCGAAGAAGAAGGTTGCCACTCAGCAAGTAAGCAACGTGGTTTTGGAGAGCATCCTGGAACTCATCATCAGCGTCTTCAACGACCAGATCTTGTCACGTAAGGACTTTACGGGATTCGGTCTTTTCCTCAAGGTTCCGCCGGGCTTCCAGGAGCATCAGGCGTATTTCGAAACCTACATCCTACGCAATGCCATTACGCAACTGAGAAACGCCGTCCAACTAGACCAGAAGGCGCTTCTGGAACCTAGGGTTTTGCAGAATATGTCACGCCTCAACATGCACATGGCAGAGGCCATCTTTGAGGGCTGGTTCATCAATGGCGCTGAGACCATGCTTGACTTTACTGGGACACTATTGGAGTATTTACAGCGGCCAGATGTCTCAAGCACGAAGAGTGTCCGACTTTGCAGTTCTGCAGTCAACACGATCAGAACAACGTTCCTCAAGCTTGTCCTACTGAAACTGTCCGACATGGATGACCCGCAAACAACTGACCAAGAGGCCACGTCGATCATGGAGAAACTCCTTTACTGGCAAGCCGTCCTCCTTAACTGCTTGACTCTGGATGACGACTTTATGAAGCTTCTCTGGTATCAGTTTTACAACAAGCTGGTCGACACCCGTGAACCAATCCGTCTCATGGCAGCAATGCTGTGGCGGATAATGCTTGTTCAGAAGCCCGAGGAGTCATCGATACTATTTCGTCAGTTCATGACCCCTGATCAACAGTCACTAGCCAGGGGCTTCAGAAGGCTCACCCAGCTGGATGATGTATCATTTCTGGAGTGGGTGGACAGTTATCGGTCATCCCTCGATATCTTGTTCTTCGGCGGCATGTCCAAGGCATGGGAGGACTATGTGCGTGCCGAGAACCAGCGCACGGCAGACACCGCTAGGTCGCGGATGAGGAACCGCAAAGATAAGCTCAGACAATGGCACACCGAAGCCATGGAGCGCGATAGCATCTTGCTTCGGCATGAGATGAGCAATAACGCGTGGATGAAGAGCATCTACTTTACTGAACATTTTAAACACCAGAGGCTCCAGCAGGACCAACAGGATGATAATGCCTTTTTGGCTTCATCCTTTGCAAAGATGGAGCGCGAGCTGTACCGGCCTGGTGCGGTGTTTGCCAAGGAGCAAAAAATCAAATGGAAGCTTGATCGTACGGAGGGTCGGAATCGCATGCGTCTCCGCCTGCTCCCCGATTATGCTGCACAGCAACAACCGGATTATCAACCGAGGGGAAATGCCGGTAGCGGCGCTCCAGCTTCAAGTCTAGCTGCGGGTGACAGCTCGTCGTCTGGCCGTAGGAGCCGCGCGCCTTCATCCGTTGCCCAGCCGCAGAGCAAAGCCGGAGCCGAGCCCTCAAGTGACTCTAACACAAACCTAGCGCCCAAATTTGCGCCAGGCGATTCCGACCAACAAAGCGTTTCACCAGAGGATGACTACGAGCTTGTGGATGACCCGAACGAGCAGGAAGATGATGCCTTTGAAGACAAGAATCGGAAGGTTATGCGGCGACTACAGCAAGGTGACACAGTGCAGAACGTCTACAACATCTCTCGCATCATTGGTTTGGATGCATCCGAGGGTATACTGATTATTGGCAAGGAAGCTTTGTACCTGATGGATAACCTTTTCCAGAGCCCCGATGGAGAGATCATAAACGTCTGGCAAGCACCTCCGGAAGAGCGCGACCCTTTCTCTGTTATGATCTCCGGTCAGAGCAATGACCGCAGGCAAGGCCAGAACCGCACAGATCAAGAGTCACGCAGCTGGAGATGGCAGGATGTCCTAAGTGTCTCAAAACGTCGCTTCCTCTTCCGCGATGTGGCAATCGAGATATTCTTCACTGATGGTCGGAGTTACCTATTTACAGCTCTCAACTCTGCCATGAGAGACGAGATCTACAGCCGGATGATGAACAAGACGCCTCATAGCAACGGCCCGAACTTGCTACCCACGCCGGAAGATGCTTGGCGCCTTGAAAGTCTCAAGTTCAGTGAAGAGGCACCGCAGACTCTGGGCATGAAGTTTGGAAGCATCTTCAACTCTTCTGCTGGAAACCCTATGATGAGGAAGTGGCAAAAGGGCGAAATTTCCAACTTTCATTATCTGATGTTGGTCAACACCATGGCTGGCAGGACCTTCAATGATCTTACGCAGTATCCCGTCTTCCCTTGGGTGCTAGCAGATTATACCAGCGAGGAGCTCGATCTGAATGATCCGGCCACGTTCAGAGATCTCTCGAAGCCCATGGGCGCTCAAACGAAGAGTCGTATGGACACATTCATGGCCAAGTACCAAAGCTTGGCTGAGATGGACGAACAACCGTACCATTATGGTACCCACTACTCGTCAGCAATGATTGTTTCGTCATACCTGATTCGCCTGCCTCCTTTCGTGCAGACATTCATCCTGATGCAGGGTGGCTCGTTTGACCACGCTGACAGACTCTTCTATTCAATCGAGGGTGCTTGGGCATCCGCTTCAAGAGACAACGGTACCGACGTTCGTGAACTGACTCCCGAGTTCTTCTACCTTCCCGAGTTTCTGACCAACATCAACGGGTACAACTTTGGCACTCGTCAGGGCGATGGTGGCAAGGTCGACAATGTCATTCTACCACCCTGGGCCAAGGGAGATCCCAAGATCTTCATTGCCAAAAACCGTGAAGCGCTCGAGAGTCCGTATGTCAGTCAGAGGTTGCACCAGTGGATCGATCTTATTTTCGGATACAAGCAGCGCGGAGATGCGGCGGTGGAAGCCTGCAATGTGTTCCACCCGTTATCGTACAAGGGCGGCAAGGACCTAGACAACATCTCTGATCCCCAAGAGCGTCTTATTGCCACGAACATCATTCACAACTTTGGTCAAACACCACACCAGGTGTTTACAAAACCCCATCCCGCTCGCGAGCACGCAAGGTGTCCCATCAAGAGGCTGGACACCTCCGTCCACTCTCTGACCAATCAACCGCATCCCCTTCTTGACAGCCACGAACGCGTGTCGTCCCTAATCTACGCCCCCAAGCTGGACCGCTTACTGTGCGCCTCGCCTTTCCGTCTGAACCTGCCCCCACAATATGACAAGTTCCTCGAATGGGGCTACGCCGACGGCAGCGTGCGGTTCTTCTTCACGAACGACCGCAAGCCCGCCGGCCTCTTTGAGAACCTACACATAGGGCAGATCTCCACCCTGACCTTCGCCGACTCCAAAACCCTCATCACCGCCGGCGAGGACTGCGTCGTGTCCGTGTACACAGTCCAGTCCAGCCCCGGCAAACCCGTAGAGCTGGTCCCGCGCTCGTCCCTATTCGGACACAAGACGCCCGTGACCACCATCGCCGTGTCCAAGGCCTTTAGCACCTTTGTCACCGTCTCGCAGGATGGTATTTCTTTTCTCTGGGACCTCAACCGCCTCGAGTTCATCCGCAAGCTGCCCCTGGCAAGACCGGTGGAGTGTGCGCGCATCCACGACGTGACGGGCGAGATCATGCTCTGCAGCGGGCCGAACGTGTTGCTCTACACGCTCAACGGCGAGCTCATCCTCGACCAAAACGTGTGCTCCGAGGGCGACACGAACGACTACATCCACTCATGCGCCTTCTACGAAGGCACCAGCACCAGCACCGTCGGCGGCGGCGGCAACGAGTGGGTGGAGGAGAACCTGGTGTTTACCGGCCACAAGAGAGGCAGGGTGAACGTGTGGAGGAAGACGGTGGCGGAGTATAAGAAGGGCTCGGCTTCGGGAGGTAGCAGCAGCAGCAGCAGGTGGGTGTTGGAACTGGTCAGGAGGTTGGATCATATCAATACCAAGAGCGAGACGGGACAAAATGTGGAGGCGGCGATTACGTGTATTACGCCGATGCCGAGTTGTGTTTATACGGGCGATGATGATGGGCGGGTGGTGAGTTTTCTTTTTTCTTTCTTTTTCTCTGAAACCTTTTATGATTGAGTGAGGCTGGAAGCTAACAGATTTGCAGTATGAGTGGAACCTGATTCAGCGGGAGCGATAGTGCGACAGGGCTGTATATATCAGAGTGTGGAAAAGAAGAGGTGAAGACGAAGATGGTAAGCTGTTGGAAGACTTTTTGTGGCTGGTAGGAGAGGAAGAGGAGTAGTTCTGATGGAAATGGGAAAGGCACCATTTTGATGGAGAAGCATAGATATATGGAACAGCGATTTGCATTTATTGGTGGTGGCTTTTTATGCCATTGGGAAAAGCAAGTTAGCAAGAAGTGTCATGCCGCTTAAGAAGTTGGAAAAGTTGTTGATCGCAAGTATTGATAGAGCAAAATTTTGGAGATATATCTCATCTGCCGGGAAAACATTATACAGACCCCTCGAGGCCGTACCTATTATCACCGCCCTAGAGGTTTCCTTGGTCAAACATATAGATATCAAGCTCTATAGCCCGCGATATAGTATCGACCTCCTGTCACCCCGTTTCCCCGGCGTCAACCACTGGTATATTGAAAGGTAGAGGGGAACCGATCGATCTCGTTTCATCTGGTATATATCATGCTGTATTCTGATATTTCCTTCCAGACTCCGACCGTCTACGTTGTCTGGGAAGTTTCTGTAATCCTTCATGTCCACAACAGCAGCGTACTGTCTCTCCGCTTGTTGATTGTCTTTTTCTCCCTCTCTCTCTCTCTTCCAGCATTAGCCCAATCGACACCTAACATCCATCATGCCTCTATGCCTCCTCGGTGTCATCATCAAAACCCGTAAGTTGCTTCCTAGGTCCGGTGGGAACTAATAATATCCAAGTAAACATTGGTTAGCCTCCTTCCTATTCGTCCACCTTGAGTTCTCTCATTCTAGCACCACTATGATATATGCGAGCCAAAATCAACTCCAAAATATAATCTCGTAAAGAGGTAATGCAGGCAAAGGCAAACACGTAGGTATAAAAACGTGAAACGCAGAAAAAAAAAAGAAGAAAAAAAGAAACATACTAGGATAAGTAACAGGAATCGGCGCCGGGTTGACATCCCCAAAGTACTTGCGCACAGGTGGCACCACCGTCAGGAAGACGGGGCCGAGTCCGGCGATGACGCACGAGTAGAAGTAGGCGGGCTTCTCGCGGGCGGACCAGCGAATGTAGCGGAAGGGCTGGGCCCAGAAGTGAGGGATTGTGCCTGACATATTTGTCTATTCTATCGTCCGTTGCCGTTGCGTATTGAAGTATTTGTTTTGTTTTCGTTTCTGTGGTGACGGACTGACGGACAGACGGGGTGTTGTTAGTGGAACTGACTCGTGGACGCGGTGGGTGTGGGAGTTGGGGCCGTGGTGGTGGTGGAGTTCATAGAGGAGTTGGTTGGTGGTGTAAGTTGCGAGGACGGGCGGGACTTGGGTTTGATGGGCTGATTGATGATGGATGTTGCGATTGCGACTCGGAGGCTATTTATTGCTGGTACTGTAGGCTGACATCGATAGGTACTTACCTCTAGTCCTGACTGTGGCCTGTCAAATGAGGGACACTCGTTCTCGTCGCTATCGTTGTCGGCGTGGTCGGCGTCCCGGGCGTGTCGTTTGAGAGCTTCGGCAGCTGCTGCGATTTCGAGACTCGAGATGAGAGCGGCCGTGCGTGTGCCGTCCGGCCCCCCGCCGGGAGGGTCCAGGAAGTTGATTCAATTGCGGCGCAATCCACGACGATCCACTTATGCTAACCGGGGTTATCCCACGCTTGCTTGTCTTGAATGGACCTCTTGGCGCTTTGCCCACTTCCAGTTAAAGAAGCTCGGGCCACACTTAATGTGTCGAGGTACCGAGCAGGAGGTTGTTGCTCCTCAAGCAGCTTCGCAGCGCCAGTGGACTCCGTCGTCCAGGGTCACAAGCGGGAAGGTCTTGGCAAACGGCTACGTATGCTGGAAGCTACAAGCGCTATCGATTGGGGAACATTGAACACGGGCAGCTACCTACATACAACTTTCCTTGGGTGTTGAAACGACAGCATTGAAAGCTATCAACCAAACACCTTACCAATTCCCATGTGCTGAGTTCCTGGTGTCCTTTTTTTTTTTGCCCTCCCCGGATCCAAATAACATCAAGGGACGAATTATGAGGACGCTATTATCCTTCTTGCTGCTTGCGCTGGCGAGCGCAGTGGCTGCCATCAGCACATCTGGCAACAGGTTGCTGGTTGTCCTGGACGATGTCGCAGACAAGGCCACCTACTCCAAGTTCTTCGCTGATCTAGAAGGTCAGTAAAGTCCCAGTGCCGTGTCCCCATCGAGACGGTTGCGCTAATCACGCTTCTTGCCTTCCAGAACGAGAATTCAAGATAACGTACGAAACACCAAAGAGCGACTCCCTAACCCTCTTCAACCTGGGCGAGCGCACCTACGACCACGTCCTCTTCCTGCCCGTCCGCACCAAGGGTCTCGGCCCCAACCTGACGCCCAAGACCCTCCACGACTTCGTCAACGCCAAGGGCAACATCCTGCTCGCCCTCAGCGCCAACACCACCACGCCCACCTCGCTCGTCGCCCTCCTCTCCGAGCTCGACATCACCCTCCCCACCGACCGTAACAGCCTGGTCGTTGACCACTTCAACTACGACATCACTAGCGCCACTGACAAACACGATGTTCTGCTCCTGCCGCCTCCCAAGCCCATCCGCGCTGGCATCAAGGACTTCTTCAGCGAGGGCGCAGGCACCAAGCTGATCGCCTTCCCGCGCGGCGTCGGCGCCGTCCTCGGCAATGGCCAGCTTCTCAACCCCATCCTGCGCGCCCCGCGCACCGCCTACAGCTACAACCCCAAGGAGCAGGCCGAGGCGGTTAACGGGGACGACCTCTTCGCGGCTGGCCAGCAGCTCTCGCTGGTGTCCACCATGCAGGCGCGCAACAACGCGCGCGTGACGGTGGTTGGCTCGGCCGAGATGTTGCAGGACAAGTGGTTTGATGCCAGCGTGACCAAGCTGGACGGCCAGCCGGTCGTTCAGACGTTCAACAGGGAGTTTGCCAAGCGCGTCAGCGGCTGGACGTTCCAGGAGATTGGCGTGTTGAAGGTCAACTGGGTGGAGCACCATTTGGAGGAGGAAGGGGCGCCGAATGATTCTAACCCCGAGATGTACCGGGTGAAGAACAATGTGGTATGTCCCTCTTCATTGCCTACCTTAGTCCTTCTTCCCTTCCCATTGTCTCCGTCACAAGAAAACTAACACTCAAAACCCCCGCAGTCCTACACAATCTCCCTCTCCGAATTCGCCTGGGACCACTGGATCGGCTTCAACGTTCCCGAACACGACGAGATCCAGCTCGAGTTCTCCATGCTCTCGCCCTTCCACCGACTCAATCTCAAGGAGGAATCGCACCGCCTGGCTGCTGTGCACTACCACACCGTCTTCACCACCCCGGACCAGCACGGCATCTTCAACTTCATGGTCAACTACAAGCGTCCCTTCCTGTCCCACATTGAGGAGAAGAACACGGTGCCGGTCCGCCACATGGCCCACAACGAGTGGCCGCGCAGCTACGTCATCAGCGGCGCGTGGCCGTGGATTGCCGGTCTTGGTTCTACGGTCGTGGGCTTTTTGGGCTTTGTGGCGCTTTGGATGTACAGTGCCCCTGTTGATGCGGGGAAGAAGGTGACTGTGAAGAAGACACAGTAGATAGAGTTATGTGGTGGGGGGGACTACTTTTGTGAGTAGTAATTTGAAAAGATGTGATGACTGGGTTATAGAGAGTTGAAAAAGATGAGATGGTAATCATGAGGTTTTCGTAGCATACATCTCTTGTGTGATATATAACAGCTATATACCAGCAGTGGAACAAACACAGACCAGAGATGATAGGGCCTTCGAAAGCTAGAGATAGGGCCATAACCATCTTTTATTTATTTTTTTGGTTCAGTCGAGTTACTGGACCATACCCCTACGCTTCGTACCTCTAAGCCTACCTCTACGTAGTGAAGTCGATGGCAAAAATTCCCCTCATGCACAGCCCTCTTTGTAGGTATTTGGTTTGACTAAATGTGAAGCAGACAAATAAGAAAGCAACATCAATACCTTCAGGAACTGAGCAAGAACTAAATCTGTAATCGGGACTGAACCGTGAGTTTATGACGACCATACACATGGATACCCGAAACGGCAAGCCCAGAGATGATGAAAAGTAGACTACGGTGTGGGGATTCATGAGCTACGGGAAATGAAATGACGCTTTGTGACCGGGAACGGTCCAGACTTCTCTTTGGTAGACTGCATATCGAATCATTCTCCCGACCTTCTGACGATTTTGGCCACTGCGAAGAGACTACTCGAGGAAAGTATGGAAAAACTAATTACAATTTGAAGAGATCAGAATAAAGAGATTGTAAAGAGACTTTGAAGAGACTGTAAAGAGATTATAAAGAGACTGTAAGAAAATTATAAGAAGATTGTGAATAGACTATAAAAGGACCATAGGAAATTCCCGTAACCCCCCCCCCCCCAAGAGGTCATGTAACTCGACCCTATCCTATACAATATAAAACCTACAATTACCAATCTTAGATTCATACCAGAAACTATACCTAAGGATCTACTGAATTTTGTACTAACTAATTACGTATCTACAATCACCTCCCTCACTGCACGCAGGACCTTTCTTTACCGCCGGGGACCAGGCAGGGTTATATAAGCAGCCCCTTAGTGTCCGCACCTTCCAACAACTCGTACTCCTCCAGTGGCTTACGTGGTAGGTAGTAAGTGTGCTGAGAGCTAGAGAAGAAATTGCGCGGTTGTAGGGTTTTCGCAGGCATGCAGTTGAGCTTTCCTATTTTCTGCTTTTCTCAGCTTTTTGTTGTAATGTATGCGTGCATATATGAATTGGAACATAAAGTTCCTGTAGAAAAGGTTAATTGAATCAATACATATGTGGTTAGTGATTATGCCTCTCTAGGTAGTTTCCTGGTGTGCCTGCCCATGTTATGTGTTATCTGTCTAGCACTTTCCTCTCATCTTTTGGTCGCCCTGGCTCATGTATTTCTTTCTTTCCTTCCTCTTCTTGTATCTTGGGAGGGGAGACGGATAGTATAGTACCTAGACATCACTTTTTAATTTCCCATCTCGTTTAGTTTAAAGATGGGGTTACCCAACAAGCGTTGACATCGCACAATGCATCGGGTGTACTGTAGTAGCAGACGGGTTTAGGTCGATTTGCCTCCCCAAGGAACAACACCATGGGAACTCTTTTGTTCTTGTTAGGATGAAGAAGAGAGGGTATTAAAAATTCTGGAGAGAGTAAGAGGAAACAGATGAGGAGGAAGGAAGCCTCGGATGAATGTGTGTGTGTGTGCCGTCCTCCGTTCTCCCTTCTTCTTTCCTCCCTTTTTGCTGCTCAAAACCAAACAAGAAAATTTGTAAATGGCTTCTGTGTCGGAAAAAGAATAAACAAGAAATAGTAGAAAAATAAAAGATGATGACGAAAACAACAATAACAAGGACATCATTGCGATATCTTCGATCCCGCCGTTTCTTCCTTTCTTCGCCGCTTCTTCCATATCCATAATGTTGTTTGTCCTGTGTCCGGGTCCCATGTCCACCGCTGCTTGCGCGAGATACATATTAAAGCTGCCAGCCCTACACTTAGATACTTAACCAGGAATGATGGTAGAGAAGAACTACTACGCATCCGCCAACTTTTTCTGACTCTTCCAGAAATCGATGGCCTCGATAATATCCTCGCCACGTTCATCTTCATATGCGAACAGAATCTGGCACTTGTGTTAGCTTCGAGGTGTCCATCACATATGACATTTAGGTTAAGGCTCACTTCATGTGTACTGCTGTGTAGCATCCTGATGTTCTTGTGCGGCACTATATGTACCGCCAGGTTATCAATGTTCCTGAGCTCGATAAAGTTGGGCTCAAACGCCAATATCCAAGGATAGCTGAGCGCAAAGGCTTGTGGTGTTCCCTCCCAATCCAGACGCCATTCGGGACGAGCCCTCCATCCGTTGCGGTTAACGAAGAACGAGAACTCGCTGTAGTTGAGGAGGAACTCGCCGTTGAGGCGCTCGATATGGATGGGCTTGACGCCTTCCTTCCTCTGGACAAAATCGAGCGATGTGTCGGCCTGATCGAGAAGGGACTGCGTCTCGAGGGTCTCGAGACTGACAACCTCGAAGCCGCGGGCGCATGCAACGCAAAGCTTGGACTTGAGGAAGTGTACCGATGAGGATTCCGTCGGGATATAGAACTCCTTGAATGGCCGGAGTTCGTCCTGACCGGCGTTGAACATCTTGCTGAGACCCCTTTGCTTCTTGGCGCCGGACATGGCATCATTCGGCTCGTACACCTTGATCGTAGTTGACAGCGCGGAGCTCTTGACGGCGCACACAAGATGTCGGCCGAGGCAGATGCCGATCTTG